ATTGTACACTGGGGGTCATTTGCTACAGGCGCCGTTCATTCACCATCTCAATTAATGCAATGCAATCCCTGATTGGATGAGTTGGAGAGGCGGGGCGTTGATGTAACGATCTCCACCCTGTCCGGTTTACAGAACGCCTTGCATTTATTAAGGAAAAGGCGTTCCCTGCATGGCGCCTGTGATGATGTGATGACGGCCCCCTGTACAGTGAGGATCACTGTAGAATCTGTGGCTACTGCCGTGATTGATCGGCCAGATATGGAACACATACTATACTTTGGTCCAAGCTGCAACAATGTAACTGCCCGTTGCACGATTAAACTTGCTGACCTCACATGGCTTCGTTATCATTGTCTTCCCTGTGTCATCCGGAATCCTGGGAAAGTCCTGCTGATCGTTACGTTTCCGCTCTCTATTTCAGAACGATCTTATCGGGCAAAGCTTGTTCGACTATCTCCATCCAAAAGACATTGCCAAAGTGAAGGAGCAGCTTTCCTCTTCGGATACGGCTCCCCGGGAGAGGCTCATCGATGCAAAAAGTATGTTCTAGTTTGGGGTCTGCTGATCATTGTGTTCCCAGGAAAACGTCATATCTGCAGCTCCTCCTGATTCAGATTTGGATCTGTTAGAAGGAACCCATCAGGATGAACTACAGTGAAGGAAATGCGTATTTGCTCCTCTGCTGATGTTGACTGTTCGCCCCCTTACAAAGAAATGATCGGTCTAAAAATCGAATGTTCGCTTTATTGTAACACTGAGAGACAGAATACAACAACAAATTCAGCAGAAATGCGTCTAACAAATGATGACGGATCTGCATGTTCATGAGGGAAAGAAGGATTTGATCCCCTATCATTCAGCAGGATTTCTGGCTCCCAGGTGTCTCTCATACAGGTAACAAGCTGAGATTAGAAGCAGGCTCTTAAAGGGAGTGCTGCTAATCTCATTGTGTTACCTGTATAAAAGACACCTGTCCACAGGAGCAATCAAACCATCAGATTCCAAACTCTCCACCATGGAAAGACCAAAGAGCTGTCCAAGGATGTCAGGGACAAGATTGTAGACCTACACAAGGCTGGACTGGGCTACCAAACTATGGCCAAGCAGCTTGGTGAGAAGGTGACAACAGTTGGTGCAATCATTCACAAATGGAAGAAACACAAAACAAGTGTCAGTCTCCCTAGGTCTGGTGCACCATGCAAGATCTCACCTCGTGGAGTGTCAATGATCATGAGATCAGTGAGGAATCATCCCAGAACTACACGTGAGGATCTTGTCAATGATCTCCAGGCAGCTGGGACCACAGTCACCAAGAAAACAATTGGTAACACACTACGCCGACAAGGACTGAAATCCTGCAGTGCCCGCAAGGTCCCTCTGCTCAAGAAAGCACATGTCCAGGCCTGTCTGAAATCTGCCACTGAACATCTGAATGATGCAGAGGAGGACTGGTGGGAAGTGTTGTGGTCAGATGAGACCAAAATCCAGCTCTTTGGCATCAACTCAACTCTCCATGTTTGGAGGAGGAGGAATGCTGCCTATGACCCCAAGAACACCATCTCAACTGTGAAACATGGTGGTGGAAACATTCTGCTTTGGGGGTGTTTTTCTGCTAAGGGGACAGGACAACTGCACCGCATCAAAGGGACGCTGGACGGGGCAATGTACCATCAAATCTTGGGTGAGAACCTTCTTCCCTCAGCCAGGGCATTGAAAATGGGTGGTGGATGGGTGTTCCAGCATGACAATGACCTAAAACACACGGCCAAGGCAACAAAGGAGCGACTCAAGAAGAAGCACATTAAGGTCCTGGAGTAGGCCCAGCCAGTCTCCAGACCTTCATCCGATGGAAAATCTGTGGAGGGAGCTGAAAGTTCGAGTTGCCAAACGTCAGCCACCAAACCTTAATGACTTGGAGAGGATCTGCCAAGAGGAGTGGGCCAAAATCCCTCCTGTGATGTGTGCGAACCTGGGGGCCAACTCCAGGAAACGTCTGACCTCTGTGATTGCCAACAAGGGATTGGCCACCAAGTACTAAGTCATGTTTTGTGAAGGGGATCCAATCCTTCTTTCCCTCCTGAACATGCAGATCAGTCATCATTTGTTAGACGCATTTCTGCTGAATTTGTTGTTGTATTCTGTCTCTCAGTGTTACACCGAACCTTCGATTTTTAGACCGATCATTTCTTTGTGAGGGGTGAACATTCAAAATCAGCCGGGGACCAAATATTTTTCTTTCACTGTATGTATGCTGCCAGTTTGTTTTTGAAGGGTTAGTACTAGTGGTGCCCCGAAATGAAAATTATGGTGCCGAAAATCCAGAATGCAAGTGTCCGAAAACCGAACCAAAATGTCTGCGTATGTGGGGGTGGGGAGGCTTCAATTTTATTTATTTTTTTGCTTTAGGGGATACTCCTTTCACTGCTACACTGGGGCGGGGTAGCTGTCACTGTGCCGGCATCCTGCTCCTGTACCCCCTGTGATGGTGTCACCCGGTGCGACCCGCACCCCGTTAGGGACACCACTGCTTAGGAACAAACGTAATAATATCTTAATCACACAGGACACAGGTGGAGTGTTTCTAGATCCCAAGTTGTAGGCCGGTACCCTTCAGGTGATTGGACAATGGCAAGCTTTTTGAGGACACTCCCCCTTTGGTGTCCCCCTCTAATACCCTCCTCCAGCCCTGTTAATGGTTAAAGCTCTAACACATTTCCAAGGACGTATTTTTATTTCTCGCGTCTGATTCTTCGCAGCGGGGCTCCCCGTCAAGACCGATATCACCCCAGGACCGTCGCGGCTGTGTTCCGGGGCCCGGCGATCGTTTTTCTGCAGAATGAAAATGCAATCGACCTTCAGTCAAAGTAGAAGACAAAGATTTCCCCTCCAATTGTTCGAAAAAAGAAAGGTTGGTCTAGTCCCTGCAAGCCGGACTCAAGCGAAAGGAATAGGATTCCGATGCTCATCTCCGGATTTTTTCTCTTTGCAGGGGACAGGAAAAGTTTTTGCACTATACACAGCACTGGGTATCTGAAGAGCTGGCCGCCTACGAAGATGGGGCTGGACGAAGATAACGAGCCGGAGAGCGAGGGCTGTAACCTTAGCTGCCTTGTCGCCATTGGTCGCTTACACCCGCACATAGTACCGCAGCCTATCAACGGGGAGATCAGAGTCAAATCCACAGAGTACGTCTCGCGGCACGCCATCGACGGGAAGTTTGTATTTGTAGATCAAAGGTAAGATGATTATCTGATGTTTGTGGTCACCATTAAAAAAATTAACATTGAAACATTTTAAAGCTTTTTTTTTTTTTTTTTTATTTTTTTTTTTTAATTTTTGTTTCCTATTTTTTAATCAAACATATTGTAATTACCTGCTCTGTGCAATATGGTGTATTTTGTACATGCATATCTTTGTAAAGTGGGCGAATAAAAATTAAAAAAAACACCGCCATAAATTTATAAAATAATAAATAACGTGCAAAAATATATAAATTATTTATTTGAATAAATAAAAGAATAATAAAATTCAAGTAAGTGGGTCGCCTACACCATACACGTGTGTCACTATAAACAAAATCAAATACAAATGTGTTGCGCTGCCAATAATAAAATTTTATATGTGAAATATGCACAAAAAATATATGCATAAAATGAATAAATATATATTCAAAATAAAATTTAAAATAATTTTGATTTATTATTCAAAATTTTTGAGGAGAGAGAGAATTTAAATGACATTTAAAATAATTTGTGAGAGAGAGAGAGAGTGATATTTAAATGACATTTAAATTTTTTGAAGAGAGAGAGAGAGATTTAAAGACATTTTAAAAATAATTTTGAGAGAGAGAGAGAGATTTAAATTGACATTTAAAATAATTTGAGAGAGAGAGATTTAAGAGAGAGGGGAGATTTAAATGACATTTAAAAAGGTAATTTTGAGCGACAGAGATTTGTCATAAATGACATTTATTTGATTTTGAGAGAGAGAGATTTAAATGACTTTTAAAATAATTTTTGAATTATATTTTGATATGTGTGTGTGTTGTGGGGTGTGTGTGTGTGTGTGTGTGTAGTGTGTGTGTGTGTGTGTGTGTGGTATAAGCGCGACCGTTTGTTTTGATTTGGCACAGAGCAGCTCAAACATCTTCTGGTTACTCCTTCAGCCACTTCCTTTAGGGATGCACCTGTGAGTTTGCTCCCAAGCCGGGCTCTGTGCATCCATAGACACACAGCATGTTTGGTCCCACCCCCTTGCTCTCGGCAGGATTTGATTGACAGCAGCAGGAGCCAGTGGCCTGCTGCCTCTTTATCCTGTGAGCAGAGAGACAGACCAGCGCCATTGTGGAAGGGCACAGCTATGGATCAGGTAAGTATAGGGAAGGTGAGGGGACGATATTTCCACTGGAACATTTGTTACCTTAATGCAGGGAATGCATGTTTTTTTTTTTTGCCTTTTGAAACCTCTTTAGCTGGACCTATCCAGTAAAGTAAATTTTAAAAGCCAGTTCCTGAAATCTCATCGAAGCTTTCAAAAGCTGTTTTCAGCTGTTTAAGTCTGCAACTTAAACCAGCAACCCTGGTGAATCCTGCCATGTTCAGGCCCTTCCTGTTATAGGGTGACAACTTGTGCTCCTGCTTTGTCACCCTGTCACGTGCCCCCTAGAGGTGACTACCAGTGGCTGAGGAGCTGTCCAATTTGCCGAGCTCATTCTGTCTGCCGATTTTTTTTTTTTTTTTTTTTTTTTTTTTTTTTTTTTTTTTTTTTTTTTTTTTTAGAGCTGTGACTCAGGAGGGGGTGTGTCCGACCTCTGCAGAGAGATACCTGTTTCCACACAGAGAGCAAGGGTCCTTCTCTGCAGCATGCTGGAAGGGGACAGGCTTTTTTACTCAGGCTGATGCTGCTTTCTAAAGAAAGTTAACCTTTAAGCAGGGGCGGACTGACAACTCATGGGGCCCCCAGGCAATAGGGGATCATGGGGCCCGTTTGCTTGCCCAAAGTCAAAGTGTATGAAAAAGGTACCAGGGGCATCTCATGGGGCCCCCTACTGACCCCGGGCTCTTAATAGGGGATCATGGGGCCCCTGTGTCCTTGCCCAAACTCCAAAAAAGCCTATGAAAAAGTTACCAGGGGCATCTCATGGGGCCCCCTACGGACCCCGGGCCCTCGGGCAGTGCCCAAGTTTCCAGATGGTCAGTCCTCCCCTGTGTGTTTTTTTTTTTTTTTTGCTGATCTTTTATTTTGATGCATCTGGAATCTTTGGCTGAATTAAGAGTAGCAACTGCAGCTACGTTTCTCATGATTAATGCACCTTTTTAATTTTACTTTTTTTTTTTGCTTTTGAAGCCTGCAGAGCATTGCAACTGAAACCAATCCACCATGGGTGCATTGCACATGCTCTATCAGTCTCAGGTCCATATTACAGTACAACTGGACTACTAGAGGGTGAGGGAGGAGGGGTGCCAGCGTGGTCTGCGCACTCTTTGCTGCCTTGTCAGATGAGACTGGTAGTATTTCCCCGGAGCAATCCCAGTGAATAAGCTACAGAAAAAGCATCCTGTGATTTAGGTGGGGGGGGGAGCAGTTTGGTTTTGGGGGGGGATGGAATATGTAAAATTTGCGTTTTCTCCCTAAAATATGGATGTAACACAAAGCCTGGTTTAAAACATGGAGTTGGCCTTTTAACTGAAAGTCCAGTAAGGCTTTAATAGACTATACAAAAACATAGAAAATAAGATACTATAATCCGTGCATAAAGGGCATTGGCATGAAAAAACATTTGTAATCACTTCCCAAAACCTTCTAGGTGTCCCCATACGTCTCTCAGCATTAAATGGTTCTACAGGGGTCATGGCTGCAGTTGCAATCTTGACCCTGGGTATTATATATTTTTTTTTTTTTCTTCAAAGCAACAATCTGAATAATGTAAAAACAATCCAAGTGGCTATAGAGCCGGTGGGATCGCTTATTATGTGGCTTTTTTTGCTGGGCTTCCCGGGCTTTCCTGTTCTGCTGGGAAGCCCGGGACGGAAGCCGTTGGGTTCTGCCAATTGCCATAAAGATGAAGACGGAACATAAATTCTCTGATCATCTTCTACAGTCTATGAAACCGGAAGCGAGGAGGATTTTGTCACTTCAGTTTTTGCTTTGTAGTAAACAAACCATTGCCGGCTTGTAACTGCATCTGATCAACCCAATCTCAGTTTGATTTCAGATGCTGTTAAGGCAGAAGAGAAGTCTGGAGTCTTAATAGAGCCCCAGCTCCTCCCAGTATAGAGGACCTGTCACTGCCCATGCTATCATAAGGGGATGTTGTTCACGGCTTTGTGATGGCAATAAAGTTGATTAAAAAACATTTTTAGGTAAAAAAAAAAAAATGAAATAAAATAAATGTGAAAAAATTCAATAAATGTATGTTATGTTATATAGTGTATACACACATACACATGTGTGTGTATGTATGTATATTATGTATGTTGTGTGTATGTATGTGTATGTGTGTGTATATTATATATGTATATATTGATATAAATATAATGTCAAATTTAGAATAAATTTGAATTATTATTTGGATTCTATTTTATTCATTTTATATATTTTTTTTGTGCATATTTCACATATAAATTTTATTAGTGGAGCGCGACACGTTTTATTGTATTTGATTTTGTTTATAGTGACACACGTGTAATGGGTGTAGGCGACCCACTTACTTGAATTTTTATTCTTTTATTTATTCAAATATATATTTTTATATATTTTTTATTTGTTGCACGTATTTCACTTTTATTTTATATTTTTTGAGTTTACAATACATTGTGTAAAATTGTCGGCACTATATAACACACCAATCACTGGCGGTTCTTATTGCTGATAGGCTCACTTTTTTTGGTAAAAAATTTTATTTTTTTTCCCAACCAGGGCAACCGCCATTTTAGGGTACTTACCGCAGGAATTATTAGGGACGTCGTGTTACGAGTATTTCACCAGGACGACATTGGGAACCTCGCCGAGTGCCAGAGACAAGGTACCTGTAGTTCGGTATCACACAGTACATGTATTCTTTTTTCCAGAGGAATCTGCTTTCTGTATTTCTGGCTTCGGTATTAAGAAACTTCACGATTTTATTTTTTTATTTTTAATGTCTTGTATTATTTTTAGTGTCTCTTCCAGTGTTACAGACCAGAGAAAAGACCACCACGAACTGTTACAAGTTTAAAATCAAAGATGGTTCCTTCATCACCTGAAAAGTCGCTGGTTCAGTTTTTCATGAACCCGTGGACCAAAGAAGTAGAATATATCGTCTCCACCAACACTGTTGTTTCGTTTAAGTTTTGGACGGAGCCGGAGCTTTCACATGACCTAAGCCTGCACTGGTGTCTGTGCTTTGAGGGTCCATCCACCTCACTTGGACCCCTTCCATGGGCAGATGATGTGCTGCCAGCTCCTGACCCCACCATGCCACCTCTCGGACCTCAGATCAGAGTGGAATACAGAGCTTGAGGGAAAGTCCTAAGCAGGCCATTGACGGGTCGAAAACCGTCGTCCGTCTTATAAAAAAAAAAACAAAAAAAAAAAAAACTGTCGTTTGATCGGCTGACGTTACCACCAATGGTAAAAAAAATCGGCTCTGATTTTCGTCCCGTCTACTACAGCATTTAACCCCATAATTACTTCTGTCCCTTGCAGAGAACTCCGCTATTATATTTTACATGAAAAGTCTTTGTGGTTGCAACAATGTATCCATTTCGGATACAAATGTTTTTATTCGGATACAAATTTGGATACATTGTTGCAATTGCACGACCTTTCATATAAAATATAATAGCGGACTGGAATTCTTTAGCTTCTTTATGTTTTTTCCTTCTTTCTTCTTTTCTTCTTCTTTCTTCTTCTTTTCTTCCTCCTCCGACTCCGAAAAAACGGCCGACCAATTCACCACACTAACAGTGCATAAAATCAGCCGATTTTTTTTTTTTTTTTTTTTTTTTTTTTTTTCTTTTTTTTTTTTTTTTTTTTTTAGAATTTTATTTTTGGTTTTTTTGCTACGACCCGTATGTCCGGCACTAGGCTTCTCTTTCACTCTGTGGTGTCATAAGATGCAGACCGGGGAGGACTTACCTCACTCTACCACAAGCTACTGCATCTAATGGGAGGGAAGTATACAGAGGGAGATGGGTAGATGTTTTCCAGTAGGACTCACACTGTGGGTATTGGGCTTGGGGATATAATATATAGCTTTCACTCCAGAAATCCTCAGCCTAGCATCATCCAGGCCACAACTTTTTTTATTATTATTATACAGTAATAAAGCGCCAACAGTTCGCTCAGCGCTGTACATTACAATGGGAGAGACAGAACATTGCGACAGTACAAAACAAATACAATGTGATACACACGAGGGGCTCGAGGGCCCTGCTCTTTCGAGCTCACAATCTAGGAAATCTACAACTGACGCATTTCACCCTGGGGCTTAGTAATGGAGGTCCATGACTATGGCACTAAGCTGCAGGGGGGCAAATGTCTGTGGGGGGGGGGGGATGGGATGGAGCTAGGTTGTTTTCTGCTTTTTACCTGCTTGACCATTGGGTCTTTTTTGGAGTGTAGTAATTGGGACTTTGTTCTTTCAATATAAAGAGAGAGATGTGTGTTGCTTACTCCTGACCCCTGCATTCTCTATTACATACTACTGACCACTGAATCTGTGTTACTTTTGACCACGCAGTTGTTTTATACTTCCAGTGATCCCTGAACTGTTACTTACAAACTGACCCCTGAACTCTGCTGACTACTGACCTCTGGGTCTGCATTACTACTTCCTAGAACTCTGTGTTACCTAAACTGACCCCTGAAACTGCGTTTCCTTCTAACACTGGAAGAGTATTGTTGCTGCTGTGAACTCGGATATTCTGTACGTCTATTGATTTACTTTTTTTTTTTTTTTTAATATACTTTCCAGGGCAAAAATTTCTAGACGGTGATCCTTCCTTCCCTCACTTGTCTGCTTCCCCACCCAGCATGGACCACCGTCCTACAATAAAAAAGGAGAAGGTAGTTGTCATTTTTATTTCTCCATTGCGATCTGTCACCGGCCGAATATCTGTGTACCGGCCCCTTTGACCAGCTATACCATGTGACCTCTGTGACCAATCACAGCAGGTCACATGACCATTGTATACAATGGATGGCTTCCTTTCATGCCATCCATTGTAAACATGTGTGTCTAGCTGAGAATGTGAGTCACAGCGATCAACATGCACAAGCTGGACCAATCACAGCCCCATCTGAGTCATTGTTGATTAGCTGTGGCCAATATCACCGCTAAGCAAAAATTTAAAAAAACCAGAATGAATTCTTAGCATTCAGGTAAACGCTTGCTTATAGCAAAGAAATTCTTTGACGTAATAAGGATCCAATTGTAAAAAAAAAACTGATCACTTCCCCAAAGTAGTACAATGTTACTAATGGTAACAATCATACTACTTTGGTCATAGTGTAAATAATGAAAAAAACTAAAATAAAAAAAAATAAACAAAAAAATTACAAAATATTACAGTTTTTTTTTTTTTCGTAAAAAACAAATCCGTATCCCTAATAATAATAGATAAGATGCAAGTTATAAGAAAAAATCTTATGAAATACGTCGGAAATACAAATGTCTATAATGAGCAAATAAAAAATAATAAATAAAAAAGTAAATATAAATTTAAAACATAGATAAGACATAAATTTAAAAAAATAAAAAATAAATAAAATATGTAAAAAAATTTATAAAAAAAATATAAAAAAAATCATAATTATAAATAAAACAAAAAAAAAATTGAAAATCCTGAATAAAGAAAAAATTACGAATATAAAAAAAAAAAAAAGAAAATCTGTATAATGTAAATAAACATTTGAAAATATAAAAAAATAAAAAATTATAAAATTTTTTGTAAGAAAGAAATAATAATATGTAACAAAAGTAACTTAAAGAAACAATCAAAATAAGAAAAAAAATAACATAAATAGCAACTATAAAAAAAAAATAATATACAAAAAAATACCATAAGAATTTGAAAAAAAATTAAAATTTAATACCACAAAAAAAATAACAAACTAAATTACAGAAAAATTAAAAAACAAATAGATTATTTGGCAAAAAAGTATAAAAAAAAAAATAGAAAAAAAAGTTAAAAAACAATTTAAATAAAAATAAAACAATAAAATATAAATAAATAAAAAAAGAATAAACTTAAATATTAACCAAAACTTAAGAAAAAAAATAAAAAAAAAAATAATAAAATATTAATATAAAGTTTTTAAAATAAATTTGACATAAAATAAATAATCATATAAATAAAAAAAAAAAGAAGAAAAAAAAAAAAAAAAATAAAAAGGAAAAAGTATAAGATAGCAATACTTCTTAAAAAAAATAAAACATACATAAAAAAAAAAAATAAGATTTATAAAAAATTCCCATTATAATAATTAGGGCGATGTAATAAATCAACAAAAAATTACATAACTAAATACAAATAATGACAAAAAAAAATAATACCTAAAAATAAAAAAAAAAATCCATATAAAACAATAGGAAAGTAACAAAAAATAAATATTAAAAAAATATAAAGTAGAATATAAATATTAAAATATTAAAAATAAAAAATAATAAACAGTTAAATAAAAAACCGGTGTGGGGGGGCCCCGGGTCCGGGAATAAAAAAATGAAAAAAATACCTTAAAAAAGTAGAATATTAAACCTAAACCAAAAAAAAAGTTAACATAAAAAGATAAACTACCTTGAACAAAAGATAGAAAACTAACAATAAAAACCTTCCCTATTGAAATTCTAAAGTAAAATAATCATAAAAATTTCAGAATAAAAAAATTAAACAAATGACGGCAATTTAAAAAAAAATCAAAATAACAATAAATAATTAAAAAAAATAATAAAGAAAAAATATTACGAAATAAAAAGACAAATAACAACATAAAAAACAAAATGCATACTAATAAAATGCCAAAAAATAAAGAATAAAAAATAACTAGAAAATAAAGCAAGAAACTAAAAGATCAAATACATCCGGCTGTTCAATAAAAACTAAATAAAAAAACAAAATAAAAATTAAAAATATAAAAAACAAAGAGTATAGGAAAAAATTAATAAATCAAAAAAAACAAAAAAAAGAAACATAATAAATAAAAAATAGCAATAAAAATCATATAAAAAAAAAATATATAATATTATTTAGTATTATAAAAATTTAAAAATATAAATACAAAATAAAAATTTTAAAAAACACAATAAATAACATATAAAAAAAATAAAAAAAAAAAACAATAATATAACAAATTTATAACAACAATACTAAAAAAACCCCCCACCGTACTAATAAAAATATAAAAAAAAAAGAAAAAAATAAAAATAAACAAATATATATCTATATAGATTAACAAAAGTATAAAAAAAATATTAATTAAAAAAAAAACTAACAAAAAATCAAAAATTATATTAAATAAAACAAAATAAAAACAACAAAAAAATAAAAAAACAGTACATAAAAAAATGTAGAAGTAATTTGAATATGTAAATGGATAATACTAATATTATTAAGTATAGTACAAAATTGTAAATCAAAAAGCAAAATATAAAGAATATATAGTCAATATACCTCCGAATATAAAATTAGGCCCCAGAAATTTACCAAAAAAAAAAATATAAATTTTATAAAATAAATACTTAAAAATTTGTTTTATTAATATTTTCATAATGATTTCTTTATTAATACTAAATTAATTTTTTCAAACGGTTCTATAAAAATATTCTAGTAAATTAGGATATATAAATTCATTTCTTATTTTTATATTTAATTTTTATACTTATTTATTGGCAATTTACAATTATTTTCCATAGATTCTAATTACTTTATAATATTACTTTCTTTTACTTTTTTATAATTTTTTAAATCAATTTTCTTGACGTTTAACTATTTTTAATTTATGGGAATTTTTTTTATAAAAAATTTTCTTTTGATCCTAACTAAAGAAGTACTGTAAAAGAATCCTAGCAGCTAGCATACCTATGCAGTGTTTTTGTTTTTTTTTTTTTTTTTTTCTTTTCTTTTTTTTTTTTTTAAAAAAAATCTTCTTAAATCTTTTTTTTTTTTTCTTAATGTTTAAAATTGTTCTTTTTTTTTTTACAGGGATACTTTTTTTTTTTTTTTTTCTAGTCTTTTCTTTTATTTTCTGTTTTTTTTTTTTTTAAGTTTTTTTTTTTTTTTTTTTGCTCTTGCTTTTTTTATTCCTTCCACACTAATTTTAAATAAAAAAAATATATATATTATATATATACTATAAGGTATTTTGAGTAAACTAATATAAAGCCCTAACAAAAAAAGGCATTTATTTTATAGTCTCCTAAACAAAAAATAAAATACACAAAAAGTGGATTGAAAAAGCTAAAAAAAAAACAGCAACAAGTATAAAACAAATTGGTGTGTTTTTGTTGGTGTGGGTTTTTT